CAGCGCGTGCATCGTCGGCTGTTCTCTCGAGGGCAGAGCGCTTGTCGAGCACACGAAGCACTATGGCACTCGTTGCTACCCAACACTGGACTCATCACACAAACAAGGCTTTTGTAGATATCAGAGTGATGTATGAACAAATGACACTAAAGCAGTCTTGCGAAGACGTGATCTCAATGACGACACATTTGAATTTTTCCTGAGAGTGCGGCGCGAAAGCTGTATAGGCCTCAATGCTACGTTAACACGGTAATGCAACAGTATTCCCTTAAGACAACGTAGTGGTCTTAAAGAATTATGCACAGTAATGTGTGTGCCTTGTCCGCGGCTTTAAGCCTTGAAGTTGATATGATAAACACCTCTTCAGACGCCCGATAGAAATGTGCGCTTGCACCACGAAATAATACTGCGACATTACGTGTTGTAATACGAAACCCGTGCACAAGACGCGTGTATTTGTAAAGCATAAAAGTTAAAGAAGAAAAAGGTATTTTCACTGTATTTCCAAGCAGACGCGTGCCTGTCTGGCAAAACACCTGTTTGCCCTCGGTGTTTACGGAACCATGTTGCTTAGAATGATGTTACAGGAAATAGCTTCTTATGGTAGAAATAGAGGAATGCCACTGTTCTATTCAGGATCAGTGGTACAGTAATCGTAACGCGTTACGTTTGCGAAGAAATGGCAGGAACCACTACGTTCGTTCTGTAAACCTTCCATAACATTCAACTGGTGCGCACAAGCATGCAACACATCATGCAAAAAAGGGCGAGGCCAACTTCGTATGGCACATGACTATGCTGAATCCTGTTTTCAGCATCGCAGCCTAATGGCAAGAGAAAATTGCTGAAATATCAGTGTTTATCTCTAGACTGAAGTAACGGCGTTATCCAGTCATACACTACAATGGCGGTAAGGATGCACAGGCCCGCCACGGATAAAAATTTCAATTTGACGGACTCTCCCATTTGCTTTTGCTTATCTCTTACCTAAGTTCCCATTCTGTTGAAGTAGATCCTTGAGTAAATATGAGCTAAGCATTTCTCTCCCACCGCGTGCACGCTAGCAGAGTTTCACATACAGCTTTTTACAATATTGTATAACAAGGGGTCGGAAAATGGTAGTTAGCGGGAGGAGAAAAAAAGAAGCAGGGTAGAACGAGTTTAAAGAGGTAGGTAGTGAAGAAAAAATAGAGAACGAATACAAAAGAGAGATAAATGAAGATGTATGTGTTAATTGAATTTTTATTGTGTTTAAAGTGAGTATTTCGGACTTTATTTTCTAAGTAAATTTAAACATTACTTGCGCACTGAATAAACGCCAAATTACTGCCTCCTTCGAAGCAGATTCTTGTGCAAGAAATGGCTGGATACTTCTATTTGAATTTCTTAGGCACACTATATTAGGCATTCTAGCTGCAGTTTGACAATTCTGTGATACAGTCATTCGTCGCTTGCTGTTGGATTGGTATATTACGCCTAGCTTGATGTGAGCTTTGAGCTGCTAACTTTATTGCGCTTCAATATTATCCGACAGTTTATCTTTACTTTAAAAAATTAGCCTCGTATCTGCGTGCTCCTCTGCAAATGTGGTCAAAAGATGACAGTGTTTGGCCGACGGCCGACCTTCTCTCGTGCATTGCGTCGTATTTTCATCGCAGCCTAAGAAACACCAGAGTCTTTAAAATTACGTATAGCTGGTTTGCTAAATAAGTAAGAGAGGGAAGTCGATAGTTTTAACCTAGTCGAATCAGATAGCGTCAATCTCAACCTTCTCGATGAACATCTTCATTATTATGATTATCAGCCTGACTACGCGCACTGGAAAAACGTTTACGCCTTAATGAGTTCCAAATAGAGCGAAACCACGCGCACGACATATTTTGAACTAGTTTGATATTTCACTATGTTTGCCCTGACGTCTCGTCATGGTTTTGCGCGTGGCTAATACTAACGTCATGTGAGTGCGGTAGGGCACTGTTCTCTTCACGTCGCATTTCATTGGTGCTAGCGATTGTTTTCTGGAAGCCGGTCGAACTAGAGGACTATGTGAAATGCCTTAAAATCCGAACATGAAAGATGGTGTTGAACTGCACCCGAAGGCTTAACTTGAGATTAGATAGCGTACGTGCATACCGGGAGAAAAGAAATAGACAGTTATAAGTATTTAAAGGCTTTAATGCCTGAACAGTAGAAATACGCATCATAGAAATACAGAAAATGCCCCTGTAAACTTTATTTATGCTCATGTATTGAAAGGACGCAATGGGAACGCAAGTAAAAATTAGGCGTTTGCCTATATTTCCCTCTCTAGTTGTGACACACCTGATGCAATTACCTGTTTACTGCTTCGAATAAATATAGGCCGAAATTTCGTACACAGTAAAGACTTTTTTTCTCTGCGTGTGCATTGCATTCCACATTATTTAGTTATACATTACGTGGCATCACACTTTTATACTCGGTTCAACAAACTTGGTATTAGATCGTTCCTGAAGATGTAATGAACGTGCCAGTCATCGGTGCATCTTCACAGCTTTGAAGCATTTGAGCCTAATGAATGCCCATAAATTGTTCACTGAAGCGCCGAAAAAGCGTCGTACCCGATAGCAAGAGTGTTAGTTGCCCAACCAGGGTACCAATGTGTGAAAGAGAGTGCGGTACATTCTAAGAAATTGAATGAGTATGTGTTGATCTCTTAAGTGAGTCCTGAGTAAAAACTATGTCTGATTCTTTGTAAATTCATGCGTTGACTTATATATGGGTCGCACCATTCTGTAAAGGAAGTTTATTAAACTCAAAATATGGTTCTAAACCATCTCTTTGTAGAATCGTATGCATGCAAACTTCAGTCACACAAAATATTTTTGAAAGGGCGTACTAACGCCCTTTAAAATTTGTGGAGCACAGGACAAATGAACTGAGTTGTATGAATTCCTTGTATATTTCCTCGTGTCTATAGGAAGAAAGGCTTAGCCTGGTTAAAGAAGTTTACATTATAAGGACAACTTAAAGTACAAAATCATTATTTAACCTCAGGTTTCACATAAACAGGCAGTTATTTTTAGAAAATCTTCGCGACCAGCTTTTCTAGCGTCAAGAACAGTGAAAAGTCAGCGAACAAATTAAGTACGTGAGACTCGGTGATCGAGATAGCCTTAAATAAAGGGCGGATAAAGTTTAATTTGCAAGGAAAGTGGTTGTTAGGAAAGAGTGCGAAACTTGTGTGACTTCTTTGGCGACAACGTCTGGAGGGAAGAATTCGGTAATGAAATGTTTGCTAAGATCTAACTCCAGTCTCGACTCGAGAGGACAATCAAGCACGCACATACAAGTAGCTGTTCTTTTGTTTATTGTGATATCGGAGAAGAGAAACGCCGCACGACTCCCAGACTCAGTACTTTGACCAAGAGTGGCTGTAAGAAAACGAACTATAAGGAGACATCTCGTACTCGTTCAGCCTCGTTCTTGAAGTTAATTTTTCAAAATGCTTACAGAGCGGGCGACAGCGGCATCTGTGTGGGCGCAGAGCCTCTTGAGTTACGTGGATGGCAGTTTGCATACCAATGCTACTAAACACCAGTAAAGTGGCCAGTGTTATTCTTTTCATTCGAGCATGTCATTCATTGCACTAAAAAAAATATAGATGGCAAGAAGCATCTTCCGTTATGAGCCTACAAAACCGTTGGGGAACGTTCTGAAGAGACCGTCCTTGAGGAGGCTGTTTCCCACGTGCCATTGCAAACGAATGTATTTGGTGAAGATGCCTTAGAGCCGAAGCCAAAGTATGCTTTCGATATGTTGCGGTAATACAGCGGTTATTTTATACTTTCGGCATCTTAGTCTCTTTTTTGCTTCAAGTGCCCGATGCAAATTGTCCTTCCTCTTACTCTTTGTTGAAACCCAATGTACAATTGGAGAGGAAACGTTTGCGATTAGGATCGCTCTCAGCAACTTGTCAGAGAGAATTAGCTCTCCGGGAAAAATGAAATAAATTTGAAAAACCTCACCACCACGCACAATTGTCAATCTGTACCTAATAATTATAATGCATTGCCTATTGTTCATGTTATTAGTTAAAATGTGCATCTCTTATAAATATATTGCATCTCCATTGCTGAAAAAGTGAATGCACTCGCAGTAGCAGTGTCCTATGTGTAGCCTCCTTTGAGCTGTGGTAATAGGTAATAGCTGGGAACAAGAAGGCTAAATTGAATTTAAACCGCAACAAAACGGCACAAAAGCAAGGGAGATGAGCGCAGGCTCGAACATACAACTGACTTTACTGTACACCACCTCATTCCATGTCTGAGAAAAACAGACCATTCGAAATTTCGGCTTTTTAGCGCACATATTCTTACTCAAAATCAAATATTGCGAAGTCTCCATATTATCAAGCGAATTCTCAGTCTGTCATCAGACCGAAATAAATTAAAGAAAAGACGTTTTTGAGGGCTGGTTTCCAATGTTTTACATAATCTTTACGAAGATGAGCTGACAGTGACGCCAGCAAAGAATATGTAAAGTTTGTCGTTGAGTTTTAGTTTATCGTAGTAGTTGTGATATAAATGTGGAGACAGTACAGTGAAGTAAATTTCAATTTTGACCCCGTAGCAACCTGAAACTTGAGTTGCTTATGTCACAGGTTTTGCTTCTTCCGGCATCAGATTGCCTTTCGTTAGCTGTATTTTCCAGACATCTATATGTAAATTATGCAGAAATACTACCGAAACAAACGTCTATACTTTCATTGGTCGCATTTTGTGCAGGATTTTAAAATGTGACTCAATTCAATGCAACGCATCAGAATAAAATTTTGCTATGGATTCAAAACATAGATTGTGATGCTCCCTGCGGAATTATTGTTTAATTTCACTGCAAAAAAACACGAACACAAAGATGTGACACACACATGCGCTATTTTCAATGTGTATTTCGAAACGGGTATTCATAATGCCACGTTCCATTTCCCAAGTTTTTGTTATCGTCCCAAAACACCACACGATTCTCACCAATGTTGTACAAATCCTTGACCGGGCTACTTCCAGCATTCCATGACCTGTGAGTGCAGTAGGTGTACTGGAACAAGCCCGGGTTGCAGTTGAGGTAGGCGACGTCAAAGAAGTGGCACACAGAGTCATAATCGATCCAGAATACTCCGTTATCAAACATAGCAGCGTTGTGTTGGTCGTATCGCAAAGCCTGGGCTAGTGCTGGTGTCCAGCTGGTGGTGTCACGCTCAGAGAAGCGGCCCTTCCAGCGAAGGTGACTCCAGGGGTTTTTGAGCAGGAACAAACGACGACCCTGCACTTGGCGTACATCGAGCATTGCATAGGCATGTGAAGGTACCAAGCCTGACCGTTCTGCCTCGGCCTCACTCAGCTCCCCTGTGGCAAGGATGACCAGCACATCACCACGTTGGTGTCGGTTGAGCAGTTTGTTGAATAATGCCTCCGCGTCGAAGGGTGTGTCTGCACTTCTATAAAGACTGGCGCGTTCGGGGATCCAGCCAGTGAGTGCATGTAGGTCGATATTAGAGTTTGAGCCAGGGAAGTCATAGCCACCCATGACCTTCATGTAGGCCTTCTCCAGCAGTGACACCCAAAACTCATTCTTGTTGTTCGAGTACGAGCACAGCATCTCCGAGCTCTTGCCCATTGGTAAGTAATCATCGATGACAACCTTTCTTGGCACGTCATTTATGTTACGCTTGACAGTGTATTTGCCACAAGGATTGTATACAGGCTGTCCCTGCCTGTTCTGGGGAAAGATTATGCTTTTAATTATTTTTTTTCTTGAACCGCTTTTCATAGAGACCACTCACAGCCAAGGATGCCGCAAATGAGCAGTCTGAAACAACAGTCTGGCGAATGCTGAAGCAGTCAACCACTTCGATGATCTTAGGATCGGACGACAACTCCTCGAGTCGTGCCCAGTAGCTGAAGGAGGCCCGCTGCTTGGGCGACAGAGACAGCCTGCCCTCGGGATCAGCAGAATGGCAGCTTGAAGGCAAAGCGGTCCCGCTGTCCGTCTCCAGAAAAGAGACGTACTCCCGCCCGTTGATCACTGATGTCTTCCTTAGGACCCCAATCTCATCAAGAGTATAACCTTCGCTGTCGCTGATGAGTAGCTTGTTCCCGGCATCTCGCACGTAGTTCTCCATCAGCTCCGGAAAAGCTCAAGGAAGAGGACGTGGTAGATGCCTCCGAGCTGAACCTGGTGGTCAGTGAGGTGATCGGAGGCCTTGCTGCCACCAATGGGTCTGGCCCCTTCGAGCATAGGCGCTGACGGCGCAGGTCGAATGATCGTACTGCCAATGCCACATCTGCTGGCCAACTTGGCCTTTATGCTCTCCGCCCTTTCAAGTCCTTGAGATGCAATGCTGGTGAGCTTTTCGTGAAGGGCCTTGTCATCTGTAGCAGCTCTCACCTGCAGGCAGAGCTCAACTGTCAGTGTGTAGAGCTCCAGGGCCTCCTGGTAGTTGTCAGCCTCATCCTCGTCCAGCGCTTGTGACAGCAGGAACTTGGCCCTGTCCAGTTGGAGTTGCTACGTCACGGCGCCCCAGAGGTCCTTATCACCAACAGAGGAACGGCATTCACTGCCGACTTAACTCAAGCGATCTTGGCATACAGCCAAACAAACCACCGCCGGACGACAGTAACCACTCACAGACCAACGGCCTCACCGAGCGGCTTAACAAGACGATCGCCGACATGCTGTCAATGTACGTCGATGTCGAACACAAGACGTGGGACGCCATTCTTCCGTATGTGACCTTCGCACAACACGCCGGTGCAGGAGACGACGCAGATATCTCCATACAAATTGGTCTACGGAAGGAGCCCGGCAACGACGCTCGATGTCATGTTACCCAACGTCACCGACGAAGAAAACCTCGATGTGAGCGAGTACCTTCAACGCGCCGAAGAAGCCCGACAACTTGCGCGTCTCCGTATCAAGAATCAACAGACGACCGACAGCCACCGTTACAAACTTCGACGACGCTTCATGGAATACCAGCCCGGTGAACGTGTTTAGGTGTGGACGCCGATACGCCGACGTGGACTAAGTGAAAAGCTTTTGCGACGGTACTTCGGGCCGTACAGGGTGGTTCGACGTCTCGGCCCACTTAATTACGAGGTTGTCCCCGACGGCATCACGAACTCTCAACGACGCCGATCGCGACCTGAAGTCGTCCATGTCGCGCGCCTCAAGCCGTTTCATGCGCGTTAACAAACTGAAACAGTGTTTTTTTGTATAATTGTTGTATCGTAATTATTCATTGTACTTTCTTGCATTATTATTGTACCTTCATCTTTAGTTAAAGCATCGGGACGATGCCTTTTTTCATAGGGGGCAATGCCATGTTCCATTTCCCACGTTTTTGTTATCGTCCCAAAACACCCCACGATTCTCAGCGCAAACCACGCCTGCAGTTTTCGAGAAGGTTTCGGACTGTAGTAGATCATTTCGATAAGATCACGCCCACTGTGCGAACGGTACAGATTGTTCTGGAACCTACGCCACCGCCAGCGTTAACGCTAGAACATTCGACGGCAAGAGTATAAATGCCGACGCGCTTCGCCGCTTGTCAGTAGTTGATCGACGGCCGACGGTCCGTTCACTGCTATCTGTGCAAGACTGCTACTGTAATCGGACTTTCCGTTTACCCGGCACAGGTTCGCCAAATAAACAGTTAAATCCCAACATAGAGTCTCCTGTCTTCGGCTGCGTCACGACCCCGTGACAATATATACAGGTATCATGAATTTATAACCATCGCAATAATACGCACTTTACCAATTGAACAATCTTTACGTAGAGAGGCTCTCATGAGGGCAGATAAATTTTTGCGGTTTGCCAATACAGTTATTTAAACGCCTCCCATTATATTAAACTTGATTACTCCATTTGTTAATTAACATGTGTCAGTATGAACGATTGAACAATCCTGTAAAGTTGACATGCACGAGATATTACCATCCTTAGTTGCACTGGCTTCTCAATCGTTGCAATACTGCCAATGGGTATCCAAAAACCCATCTTTTTCTTCCTGCATTTCGCAGGTATCGCAGAAATTTAGGAGCCAGTGCAAGCGAAATGCTCACATCAAGGGCATGTATAATTTTCAGAAGCGTTCAATTGCCAGTACCAGCAGGGGTCCGCTAGCACAGGATATATTCGAGGCTGAATCGATTGATAGTCTCGCAGGTAAGCAATATACAGCCGTTGATTGTCTTCTACTGTTAGGAGTTATCCTACCTACAGAAACATAGTTATATTTCTGGCATGCATGTTGTAGTGTCTGCAGGCTCTCCATTGATAAAATTATTCTGGGTAGTGCGCATGCGCCAGTGGGTGTTAACAGCAGAGTTCCGCTTTCGGCCAGAGCCCTTCTTGCTTGAGCCAGGAACCAACAAGCACGGGAAAATAAACGTGGCTCACCCGTAACTTGTTTGGCTTTTTACGGCACGTCTGTTGCGAGCGGAACACTTGGCGACGAAGATTGAGTTGCACAGAGTTGCACAGCGTCACGGAAGGCAAGTGTTCTCGGCATTCATCCTCTGTTCTGTATTGACGATTGAAGAGTGCTGAAATTTTTTGTCTCAATGACTGACATAATGAACAAAGAAGCCAGTGCACGTTCGATACAGTTTGCTGCTCAACTGCACGGGACAGATGCAACCATTCGACATTTCCACGAGTGATTGGGCGTCGTACGAAGAGCGGCTAGCGTCGTTTCTAATCGTCAACCAGGTGGCCGAAAATGACAGAGCACATTCAATCCTGAGAATCGTTGGTCCCAGAACCTACAGTCTTCTGGAATCGCTGGTCGCCCTGGCACGGCCTTGAACGAAGACTTTCGAGGTACAGAATGAGACCCCGGGAGACCATCTATCGCCGAAACCGTTGATAATCGGCGAGTGAGCAAAGTTCCACAAGAGGCAGCAAGTCTGAGACGAGTCCATTTCTGATTACGTTGCCGAGCTACGTAAGCTAGCATGAACTTGTGATTTTATAAGCTCGTTAGACTAATCCCTCCAGCAACACTTCGTGTTTGGTTTGTTAGGAGAGGATATGCAGCGAGTGTTGTTCACTGAGGACAGCAAGCTCACATTTCAGAGAGCAGTAGAGCACACGCTGGCTGTGTATGCTGCAACAATAAGCACTGCTTAACATGAAGTCATGCATGGCGTTGCCTGCAGCCAACGCCATGCATAGAGTACACGCGGCTTCAAGTGACTAGTCGCAAGCATATGTTTTCGCTGCGGGTCGCTGAAAGATTACGGCAAAGTGTGTCCCCACTTATACGACAAATGCTATAAGTACAACAAAAGGGGGCGCCTTCAACAAGTCTGCAGTAGTGCCTCCGGCCCGTTGCGTGAAAAACGCTGAAATAAAGCACTATAAAACTTTAGCGGTGGTATCCCGCTTAAAAGTAGTAGCCATAAAGAGTGTGTCTGCTTCCAGTATTGAGCCTATCATGGTACCGATGAAAGTAAATGATGTGACAGTCTCTACCTAAGTGCCGGCATCACAGTCGTGCTTTCTAAACAATACCCCCAATTGTTTTTCATCAAACACACTCTGGCCGACCGAAGTCAAGCTGCGCAACTACACAAGATTTCTAGTGATCCCGAAAGGCGTTTTACAGATCAAGGTGCAGCACGGCGACAACACGGTGAGCCTGCCTTAATACGTCGTCGACCAGGAGGGACCAACATTGCTAGGCTGGAAATGACTACAGGCAATCAGGCTGAAGTGGAGCAAAATCTGGAACGTCCACCCTCTGCTGAAGTCGCAGCTGCCCATCTCATGGTATAAAAGAAAAGGCTACACGTTTTGATCACAAAGTACGACTAATCTTTTTAAGGATGAGCTTGGTATGATTACGGAAGAAAAAGCTGAAGGTGTAATTCAAGCCTAATCAGGCACTGAACCTTCTCAAAGCAAAAAGCATGCTGTTTGCACTGAAAAAGGCAGTCGAGGTGGAGCTTTAAAAGATGGAAAAAATGGGCATCATAACCGCCACGTCAGTGCTGCCTGTTATTAAGAAAGACGGTGGCATACGCCACTTTGGCGATTATAAGGTGACAGTGAATCCGTGCCATGAAGACATACATTATCCGTTGCCGAAGGTTGAAGACATGTTCGCGGCAATGGACGGAGGCACGCATTATCTGAAGATTGACCTAAACCGCACTTATCAGCAAGTGGTCATGTATGAGGCTTCAAAGCAATATTTAACACCCAATACGCACAGGGGATTGTTCGTTGTCAACCGATTACCTTTTAAAATCTCTTCCGCGCCAGGGATTTTCCAAAAGAGATTGGATACTATGTTGAAGGGCCTTAAAAGTGTTTGCTGCTACCAAGACGACATTTTGGTATTGAGGAAAACAGAGGACCACTTAGCCAACCTCGAAGTGCTGCTAAGAGCATCTTCAAAGTCGAGTTGTCAAAGTAAGCAAAGACAACTGCTCGTTTTTTCAAAAATAACTTCACTACCTTGGCCCCTAAATCAGCACTGACGGCATTTCTTCATTTTCAGATAAAGTTCACGGACTTCTCCAGGTACCAGAACCGAAGTCAAAGAAGCAGCTACAATCTTTGTTGGGTGTCGCCAACTATAACAGCAAGTTCGTGCTGAAGTTATCTACGGTATCTCAATCATTTTATAGACTTCTTTAGATGACGGTGGCGTGGAACTGGGACGAGCAAGCTTCAAAAGCGTTCAACCTAGTGAAACCTCTACTGGCGAAACCACATAACCTCGCACACTACGACCCTGAAAAACAATTTGCTGTCATGCGACGCGTCTCAGTATGGTGTAGGAGCCGTCCTATTTCATGTCTACGATGACCGTAGGGCCCGGCCCATTGCTTAAGCTTCAAGAACGCTATCTGAAGCGGAAAAGAATTACGGTAAACTTGAGAAGGTAGCGTTAGCGTACTTTTTGGTAAAGAGAAGCGCCACTTCTATTTATACAGGTGCGCATTCACCTTAGTGACCGACCAAGGTGAATCATTCAAACCATATCGGACCTGAGTACAGGATTTACCACCATCGCGGCAGCTCGGTTGCAATGAAGGGCCGTCAAGTTGGCAGCGTACTTGTACCGAATAATCCTTTAAAAATCGAGCGAGAACACGGAAGCCAATTTATGCTTACGTCAGCCACTGCCAGATGTTGAAGCGGAAACCAAAGAAACAGAAGAAGCGTTTTGTTCATTGCGATAGGAATAGCTGCCTGTTTCTAGCAGAGACATCGCAGCTGCCACGAATAAAGACTGAATTATTCGTCTAGAGAAGGAATTCGTAAATGACGGATGGCCCACGACGATCACGGAGGAGCAGTTGAAGGCTTTTTTTCGCAGATGCAATGAGCTAACGGTGTATCATGGCTGCGTTATGCTGGGAATAAGAGTAGCCATCCCCAGCGAAACTGCAAGGGTTCATCTTGGACAAACTCCATGACGGTCATCCTAGCATCGTGCGCAGCAAAGAGCAAGCGCACAGCAATGCGTGGTGGCCAACGCTTGAGGC